TTGTATTACCTATGTATCCCAAGTTGTCATTTGGAATAACTACATTCCCAGTAGGAAATCTGAGGTGATAGGAGAAGTTGTTCTTAAATACAACCCCTATAATTTCTTTATTCGAAATCCAGGCTTTTTCCAGGTCTCTCTCATTGTCCAGTGCCTCTAGTTTTATACCTGTGGTGTGTAAGAAAAACATTGCCATCAGTTTCTGTGGGTCTGGAAAAGCGTGCACAGGCACTGGGTGTATATACTCCTTTTTTTAACATTGCAACTCCTCCATTCCAGTTCTCCTCACTGGTTTGCCAGTTCAGAGGAACTGCACCTCAAAAAAATGAACTAAAGTGTCTTAATAGTGGTACTCTACAAAGGCAGAGCTTTACAGCTCAGAAACACACACTGACCTCACTAATAATTTACATACTAGAGCACCAATATTTGCAAGAATGGAGGATTTGGAAGGGAATTTCTTTACTGAGTGAACATACGGGAGAGTGACTAAACCACCGTTTACAATAGGTTAGATAATGACAAAGATAAATATTTAAAGAGCAAAACCTACCCATCATCACAGAGTTCAAGGCCACTCTATACATTATCTGCCTTGTGGTCACGGTGACGGGTGTAAAAGCGATGGTGACCCCTGTGGCATCGTAGGCGGGATCGTCCAGCTGCCCCAGGTGGCTGTAAGGCACTTCGGGGTAGCGGGTGTTCGTCATGAACACGGACATTATGAACATCAGCGGCAAGAAGAGCAGCGACAGCATCCACTCCTAGGTCAGAGAGAGAGCAGAGAAAGGGGCATAGGGGGCAGCAGAGATTGGCCACTCTGTCATTAGCTACTCATTTTTTCTTGTTTTCTAAATCTTGCCTGGAAGCTTTGCATCTTCCTCCTCCACTTGATAAGTACGTTTTTCCACAAGAGAATTTTAGTTTGCTGGAATATGCTCATATTTCGCTGAAGCGTCTTCATCTTTGAACCTACAAAAAAATTTTGAAAAAACCACAAAACTACTTTTTATGCCATAAAAACTAGAACAGCAGCTTCTATTTGCATAATCCTTGCATGGGTGCACAGTGACTCTCCCTTTTATCACAAAAGAGAGGTGAAGCAACTCAGTCCTCGTGTGTTGAGCACAAGCCAGTCCTGCTGCAGCTTCTAGCAGCAAGAGACCTCATTGTCCTCAACATATTCCCAGTCTGGAAGTCTGGAGGGAGTTATTTATGAAATAAAAAAGGGAAGGTTGCCTTGGGTGGCCTTAATATCCAAGAAACGACAGCAATATGGTCAGTTAAAATCAACAAAATTTTTTTTGCATGTAATTTCAACGTGCTATAGGCTTCACACGGAGAAGTGTTGAGCAACTCCTGGCTGTGATGTGAGCTGAGCTCATACAGAAAGCAGTGTCAGTCGGAGGCAACTGGGAGCTACAGGAGAACAAATTCTTGGAAGTGTGTTGGGAGAGATGAGTTTGTCGGAGATATTAATGGAAATCAAGAGAGAAACAGCCAGCCAGGAGCACGCGTTGCTGCGATGCTCCAAAAGACATAGCAGCATCCTTAAAAAGCCATTGTCAGAGCAAGAGGAGAATTTGTTGCCTGGATTAAACTTAAAGAATTAAGCATAAAGCTGGCTGTCAGAGTAAGTTTTGCAGATGAGATATATTCATATAAACCATCAGTAAAATACTCACAAGTACTTTTAATGAGCAAAAGGACCAACTACCTAAATGAGAAAGAGCTGCACTCACGTAGCCAAACTGCTCTGCTGTCGCATACATAGCTAAAATATGCTTTCAGAGGAGACCTTGATCATCTCCAAGTAAAGTCTCAGGCAGAAATATCAGAGCCTTTTTAGACCTAATCCTTTCAAGCCTTCCTGTCACAGGGAAGGAGGATTTATATTGTCTTGTTCCCTTTGCGGGAGGATGTCTTACAGTGCTGACAGGCAAAATGGAGTTTATCTTCTTCCAAATATCTATATTCAGCCCTCAGGAGAGGCAGGTCTGCTGTAATGAGACAGCAGACATCGAAATGCTGGAAAAACAGCTTCAACAAATGGTCTTCCCTGGGTAGAGGCTGCGAAACTAGGCAGTGGCATGGCAGGAGGATGGAGCAGGGATGCTGGCTCAGTGGCAGAAATCTGCTCTTTTGCCATCTCTCTGGATAATGTTTTCTTTTACAGGTCATCTCACTAAATCCAGGGGTATAAAAATTTGAATTTAGCATGTGCTAGTGATCTCTAGACTTCCCTGAGGAAACTGTGAAGTTAAACTCGCAATTGCTTGCTTCCTTTCTCACCTAATAGAAAAACAGCATCTCTTGTATGCATTTCCACTACTGGAACGGGATTTGTGTCACAGCTGAAGCAGTTTCCAGTCTGCATTTCATGTCAACTGTCATGTAAAATAACCTCGACAAGCTGCCGCACCGCTGGAGTTTCAGCTTCACACCCAGGAGATCCTGGCCGGCATGGAGAGCTGGTCCACCAGGTACCTGTCACCAACGTCCCACGTGTGCCCCCTCCCCATCCCCTGATCCCCAACTGCAGAGTTTGGGGAAATGTGGCAGAACTGATTTCATTGCTCCTTCAGTATTTCAGGGGGGATTTTTTAAGAATGGAAGATAGACAGAAGGCTTTTTAAATTCAGTCTTCAGTTTACACTGCATCCAGGCAAAGAAATCTGCTCCTTGTGCGCCAGATGACTTACACTGAGCCAAGCCTACCACCAAGAAACACTGGAAACGCACCTCAGCCATAAGCTGAGCTCCATTTGTGTGTTACTTCATATTAATTCATACAAAAGAGACTCTACTGCCTTTAAGTAGTGACTAAGCCTAACCATAAGCTTAACTCAGCCTGTTGGGAACACACTCAGTGTCCCACCTACACATTCATATTCTCACCTAACATTATTAACAGTGTTATTAATTACCGGACATTTCCATACCCTTTAAATAAAAATTTTTATTTGCTTTGAAGAATATCTAAGCTTTACCTTAACGGGAAGGTTTGAAGGGAATCTAGAGCTTGTCCTTTGCAGCGTGCCTGTGAAAGCGGAGATGCTGAGCCTCTTGGATGGACTCGCCGATCGTCCCAGCAGCTCTCAGGGCTCCTTTGTCCACGCACTTGTTTTTTTCCCTTCAGGCACTTCTGCCAAAAGGCATTCCTCACACCATCACTTCGCTTTTCCCTGGCTTCCTCCCCTCTTCCTCCTTGGCAGCTCTTCAGATTTATTTATATTGTAAAAAGCAAACAGAGCGTATTGTTGTTGAGTTGCTGGAGCAGATTCTCCAAGCAGTTACTCAGGAAATTCTTGCTTCTTGGCCAAGGGAAGAAAAACGAGTGCAACAACAAACCACACAAAAATCCTTTCTCTGGCAAACTCCGTTGTGTTTCTCCACGCAGCAAGAGAGGCTGAAGTCAACAGCAAAATCCCGGCACGTTGCTGAAGCAAACGGCAACTCTCCTTATCTCCCAACAGCAAAGGTCACGTCTGCAAACTGCTTCAGTGCCACCAGCCCCGGCACAGGAAGAGCAGCAGAGCGCTGCCTCCTGGATAGCAACAGCTTTTCGACACAAGAAAACTTTTCTTGATTAATTCTGCGCTTCTAAAAGGAGGGGGTTTGGTTCCATGGCGTGGAGCTCGCCTGCCCCTTGGCCGCCCATGCAGCATCCTCGGCCACCGCAGGGCTGAGGGATCGGTGGGAGGGAGCAGCGATCAGCTGGGACAGAGGCTGGGCTTGCAAAGGCGGAGGAGCTGGATGTGCTTCCCTCTGCTCTGCGCAGCAGGGAAAAAACAAAAAAGACACTGCGAAGATTTAAACAACGTTCAGCTGTTTCAAAAGCTAGGCGAGCTCCAAGAGCGTAGTAAGTCAGGACAGAGAATGAAGTTAAGGGCATCTCCTAGGTGTCCAAACTTTCTCATTCCCTTTCAGCTCCTCCCCACAAAGGGAAAAACAATCACACCCCTTAAGTGGAGAAGTGGATATGCCAGGTCCCAGTCAGCAAATCTCAAGCAAAGACACCTCTCTGCCCACCTCCTTGACAGAGGCACTGTTGTTTGGAGATCCGTACAGAAAACAGCTCTCTGGGTGGGTGAGGTGGCTGCTTTGGGGGCTTTTCCCCAACCACAGCAGAGGCATTGGAACTAGATAATCTTCAAGGTCTCTTCCTACCTTAACCATTCTATGATTCATTCTATGATTTTCCTGGCAGGAACAAGCCCATCACTGAGCCACAGTAGCCATCTGCTGGTACCTGCTTGCCCGTATCCCTGCGTGCGTTGCCCAGACCCTCATCTCTGCCTGCTTTAAGTGCCTGCACCTTCCTTGCCGGCACTGCCCATACCTGCATCACTCATACCTGTATCGCCCATACCTGCATCACCAGAATCATTTGCAGGAACCAGGGGAGCTCGTGGCATGGGTGAGGGTCACGCTGCTGTGTCTGTCCTGTGGGATGGCACTGCCCCTGTCCTGCCACAGGTCCCCAGCCCAGCCTTTCCCAGAGGCTGGAAGTGCTGGAGGACAGTGAAGCACCAGAGGAAACACCTGGCTGCCTGAATGAAGATGGTTTCTATTTTATTTAGGGGTTTTTTTTAATTCTTTGATGCTCTCCCTGGCAGGCAGACGTCTAAGAAGAGATGCTTATCTGCTCAGACAGGGTCAAGGTGCTGAGGATTGCTTCCATCCCTCCCAAGCACCCACAGACCACCAGAGCAAGTCAGACAGACATGCTGTGGCCATGTCTTCACCTGTGCAATCTACAGTCCTGCTCCGGCGTTACTTTGGGTCAAAGCACATCTTGTTATGACTTCAGGGCTACAGATGAGTGGCAGTCCTCAATTTGTCAAAGGATAAAGGCTTTATTAATTGAAACAATAATAATTTTCTTTTTCCTTTGTGAGGCAGAAAACCTGCAGAGCTGTATGTGCTGTGACGTGGGGAACCAGTATCAGTAAGACTGATGAAATAAGCTGAATATTTTCTGTTGTGGCTTGAAGGACTCAGGGCTGAAACAGTCTCTGCTCCATGGCCCCGTCGGATGCTGTGTCCAGGTCATGCTCCTCCAAGTCCAGAAGTCCCTGCAATGCACCGCAGAGGAAACGACTCTCTCATTGCCAAGGCCTGACAGTATTTACGCTGGTCACAGGTTATTTCTTTTCTTCATACAGGCAACTCCTAACCTGTAACTTCTACCTCAACATACCTGTTGCAAAGTGTGCAGCGACAAGCTGTACTCCTCAAGCCCAAAATTCTGTTTAGCTGCAGAGGGATGGAGAAGGCATTCTTCAAAAACAAATCTACATTGACAAATTGAAAGCAATCTTTTTGTGTAATTGATTGTTTCCTTGTACCTGCTTCTAGCTTGGAGAAAGACTGGGACAGAGGCAGCGCATCCTCCATCGGTATCTTGTAGATGAGCAAAGAAGAAGTCCTGAAAAAGTAATTACAAAACTTAATTCATCATTTCGTGATTCAGCACCAAGTTTTAGGGGTGCTTGTAGGTTTATTGTGCTCCCAGGTAAATTATAGAGCAAGGTCATTAGGACTAACAGAGCCTCCCAGCACCAGTGCAGGGCGGGCTGCAGCCCGCGGGGTGCTGACCTTTGCTGCCGAGCTGCGTGGGGGAAGAGGCACAAAATTTCAGCGTGGAGAGCATCGCTCTGGCCCACATCCATCACTTTGACTTCTAGGTGGTAACTTGTGCCCAACTTACTTTTCAGATCCTCAAGGGAACCAATGTACCTGCAGAGGAGGGAAAACATTGTTCAAACCATCATAACCAGCAAATAAAGCAATCAGTGGAAACAAGCCGCAGATGCACATCCTCTTATTCATCAGCTAAAACAACTTCCCTCCTCACAAAATCATTTGTTATGCACTTGGGACAATCCAAATCTACATTTTCTGTTAGACTGAGAAGAAAAAAACAACCAAACAACCCCCTAGAAAAATCCAGGCTAAAAATCAGGTGGTGTCCTGGTGAGTGACGCGGCCCCGGTGCCCACCCACCGTAGCTGCCCCGCGGACAGGACGGCCACCCGGCCACACACCGCCGCCGCCTCCTCCAGGTCCCGCGTGCTGAGCACGGCTGCCCGCTCCTTGCTTTTCAGGGCAGCCCGAACCACTTTCCTGGGGACAAAGGGATCACAGTTACTTCCCAGGAAGAGCTGAAGAAAATCTCCTGGTTTTTGCCTCCCTCCCCCAAAAACCAACGGAAATGATAAAACTATAAAAAAGCGGAGGAGTATTTAGAAGACTTCTGTTATCTTTCTTAAAGATATGTGGGTGCCAAAACGATGTCGCAATTTATCCTGTCAGCCTCCCTCCAAATTTCACAGTTTCAGTCTGAACTGGTGGTGAAAAGCTAGAGCAAGTGCTAGGGCTGGATGATGAAAAGGAAGAACTATGTATATTTTTTTTCTCTTGCTCTGAAGGAAACAGGATCTTTGGCAGCAAACACATGGGTTCAGCTGGTGTCTGCTCGGATTTTTTTTGGGGGCTCTGCCATCAGGATTGCATCTGATGGTTAGCAAGGGCTTACTGCCTGCTGAGTAAGGAGTTAAGCGAGTGGTACCCCACCCACCATGCATGAGGAAAAAAGGGAGATACAGGCAGATTCAGCTGCTGAGGCAGAATCTCTTTGCCTGCCCAACGGTTACTGGAACAGGAAGGGTAAGACCCATCCTGCTAAATCTGTTACGTCTCAGCTCTGCTCTGGCGGGGCTGCTCACCACATCTGGCGCTGCCCTTTCAGGTCCATGCCCACCGACGGCTCGTCCCAAAGCATCACCGTTGGAGCTCCCAGGACACTCAGGGCAAAGCACAGCTGAAACGGGAGAAAGACCAAGATCAGGCCAGGTCTGCTTCTCCTTTACCTGCTGAA